CATCAACAAAAAATGAAGCATGCTCAATTTCAAAACAAAACGAAAAACAGCAAAGGAGTTCAATTCAACATAGAAAAGAAAATGGCTTCTAAAAATACAGAGAAATCTCGGTTACTCACATAAAATTCATTCGTTCTCTTATTAATCCATACAAGTGAAATAAATAAAGTCCACAGGTATTGATGGTGTAATAACGCTAATATATTAAAATCAATCTCTCATGATGAGCCATCAGCATATTTGTTAAATTTGTGTACGGAGAAAGGCTACTGGCCAACAGCATTAAAAAAATAGATTGTTACTCCTTTGTTCGAAAAGGGGACTACATATATTGTGACAAATTATCTTCCCATATCGCTGATAACACATCCAACTGAAGGTTTCGAGAAAATACTCAAAAAAAACTCACCTCACATCATATATCTCAAAATACAATTCAATATCTGATCATCAGTTTGGACTAAGAGAAAATATATCTACCAAAGATGCAATATCTTCAGCGCTTATTGAAAATAAGCCGAGTCTCTGCGTTTTCATAGACATATCGAAAGTGTTTGACACCGTCGACCACACATCGCTTCTACAAGCAAAAGCAATAGAAGATAATAGCATGGAGTCTATTCAGGAGATACCTCACGGCGAACAGAGTAAAAACAGTGAGAAAGGATAAAATTATAAGCAGTGAGAAGTATATTGATACTATGATACCTCAGGGTACGGTTCTTGGACCTATACTACTTAGTTCTATCTGTACATGAATCAAATATTCTTTCTAGCAAAGTAAAGAAAAAATCAATTGTCTAATTACCACTATTTTTATTCATTTCATCAAAGTCATCATGAATTACCACAAAATAAACAAGTCATCAATCACACATATTGAAAAATTCTAGGATTTGCAGACGGCACTACAATATTCTATAAGGCACATGATTAGAAGAATTGAAATATGCCATCAGAATCAGACTTCGATACAAGAAAATCTGGCTTGAACATAAGCTTTCAACGTTAATTTGAAGAAAACCCCGTATATGCCATTCAGTTGGAATAGCACGAACAAACCACCCTTTTCATGTATAGACCTAGGCAATCAACCCTTGATTCGTCCTGAAAATAAGGTGAAGTATTCAGGGTTAATTATTGATTCAGATCTCAAATGGATGAATAAGCTCATAAACTTTATTTGCAAAAAGCTGCAAAGTATTCTATACAAATTCAAATATTCTCCACCCACCATCTAAAAATTCTTTACTTCGCACTACTCGCGTTAGAAGATAATAGCATGGAGTCTATTCAGGAGATACCTCACGGCGAACAGAGTGAAAACAGTGAGAGAGGATAAAATTATAAGGAGTTGAAGAAGAGGATAATGCAGAAGTGTGGTGAGGATACCTGCCAGAATTTGAGACGACGTTATGAAAAATGTATAGAGCATGAAGGAAGATATATTGAAAACTCCAATATCTGAAAAAACTGTTCCATTTATCATTTAATTTATTTCTATTGTTGGTTTACTTTTTTAAAATTAAAAACACGTTTTCAACTTTTGATTTGTTGATTTTAATTAACTCCATGAAACGATTAGAACCTATGTAACTTCGTAGCTGAGTATGCGAAGTATTATTTCATTGAATGGTTACTTCATCTTTTCTGTAAAGTTCATAGACTTTCATACAGGGTCAGTCAAAAAAATATGGTTTTAGAAATTTGTCATCATATAACTAACACCCTGTATGAGATATTGGGCTGAAACTTGGAATCTAGATGTTCGACGGCTTATTGAATTTCAATAATATTCTTTTTTTACCACCCTGTATCATTAGTTATCGAAATTGCATATAAAGTCTATTGAATATGGTTCTACTCTACAAGGAGTATGAAAAAATAAAAAATCTTTCAAATCCTTGAAGAATTCATTCTTTGAATTAAATTTTGTAGTGACTACCTCTTAATCCATCATTACAAAATATATTTTGGAAACCTAACGACTTTCAGAAATATATCGATCGATATTTTATGATCCTGGCTTTCGTATCTGATTATAATCGATTTGCATCTCATGAAAGGGTATAAACCGACACTCTTTTTGAATTATCGTCGAGTTGAAATCGAATAACGACTCCAACAGAGACTATCTCGTTTCGAAATGTTTTACTTTTTTTAATTGTGTTCGGAGTTGGCAACCCAGCGGTGTTTACATTTACAAAATTGAAGATGTTAAAGAAATGTTACTGCGAAAATATGTTATCGACGAAAAATTAGATTTCAACAAATGGGAAAACCAATTTATTTGTATTGATAGATGGTAGATGTTTCCGAAACGATATTTTCATTATTTAGTTTAGTTGTGAATGTAACAAAAAGATGTACCTTCGTTCTCACCAATGAGCGATTAATTTATTCTTTTCCTTCATTCATGCAGATCTGAAATTATTCAATTTAAGATTAAGCGTTTTAATCAAATGACGGAATCATTTTCTCACAGCTTGACATAATGTATGTTACGTCTAGTAGTATACAGCCAACTGTATATACCTGTTTCGGGTTGATTAGCCATCATCCGTATGATATAAAATAATTATAATAATAATATCGTATTCGTAGTCAATTTCGAATTATACAAAAATGTAATTGTTCAAATTTTAAATATTGAAAATACATTAGTTAGGTTGGGTTAGGTTCAAAGTGAGTGGGTCTATTCGACCCTCCACCGCAACCCGCACGGGTTAATTGTGACTCGCACCTATTCACACTCGATGAAATAAACCCAGCTTCTTAACGAAGCCAATTAGTTTGTACAGTAAATGGTCTTTCAGGTCAGATGGTAAGAGTACGGCTCTGCCGAACTCTATAAACCTGATTCGGTCCCCAACGGGACAGGCACAAAGTATATGCCCTGCTGTTTCATCGTTAATGAGGTAGTCGGATAGACAAGGTGCAAGATTCTCACCTTAATACTCACGACAACCTTCCCATATGAGGGTTTTTGCACGTCAGCTACACCTGACGATGCCTTAGATTTACCCGTGAAGGGCTTTTTCGCCTCTGGTTTTGGTGAATCATCACTTGAGCGCCAACTTTTGCTAACCTGCTCATGGGCGGTTTGTACCTCCACGTGAGACAGATTTTGCGTACGCCGCTCTTGAGAAGACGACTCAATCGTTTCCTTGCTGCACCACCAACACTTTTTTTAGGTTCAGTTATTGGATCAGGAGTTGAAGAGTTGAGAAGCTCTCGCTCCTGATCTAAATTTACAGGGATTAGATGATTTAGGAAACATTTGCTACATGAATAGGGTTTTACAAGTATTGTTCACGACGAAGAATTCCATGAACGAGGTTTTAACGATGAACGAGAACGAGAATGTTTCCTACTTATTCACCAAACTTCCGGGTTTTCCTGCAGCTGAAAAAGCAAATGCGCCACTGGTATCAATGAAGTCGTCCCGGAGTGCCAATTAATTTTTGTTGTTGTTTTATAATTTCAAGACTTGTATTTTAGAATTATTGATGTTACAAGATATTCATTTATAGTTATNGTATGACAGTTTGACAGTGGTTTAATTTTTTTATTTTTTCATTTGTTTTTTAACTTTTTGCTTAATTTTATATTTTTTTCATTTATTTCTTCTCTGTGATTATTTTCATTTTGTATCTTGATTACTTCATTAGTTTCATTGTATTTTCATTTCAGGCTTTATTGCCTAATATTAATTGATATTTCAGCTATTCATTCTGATTTTATTTGTTTTTTCATACATTTCGAAACATGGTGGAAGTCCGAACTAACAAAATTCTCCGAATATTTTTCCCTATGATTTTAGCAATTGTAGAGAAGAATATCTCAAAACTTGGCAAACAACTTCAAAAAGTGAGTGGTTCACAATTCGGTTATTATTTTGATGGACAAACTACTTCCACGAAATACCTGACCAATGGTGGGAATTGTCAAAACCTATTCAGGAAGAGATTGACAGGAACCTACAGAAGACCCAGTACTGAAGATATGTCTCTTGAATCTACTGGAAATGAGTAATGACTGAGCCAGATGCCATTACAGGAGGGAGAAATTTTGAATTCAGATTGGCTTTAGTTTTATTTCCCTTCGTATATTTCATTTGAATTTCCATCAGTTAATATCAGAAACCATGTATAAATGAAGTTGTTATTAAGTTTTGTCAGTTCTGAATAAATGAGTTTCATAGAACAAGTCGTTTTAAAACACTTGGAATTTTACCTTCTGCCGGATCAAACAAAATAGTTAAAGCTTCTAACGCAAGTTTTATCGAAGTAGTTGGTTGTCATCAGAATGGTCGTTCACAGTGTGAGCATAGGCGAAACAATTGATGGAAAGAAGATTCACTCATACGCGGAGTCATGAATAAAAGTCAGTTGCACATTTATGGTTTTGGTTATTTAATAATAATAATGGTACTGATTCATTGAATATATAATTGAAAACCCTCTCATCGACTTACATATTCTGCAACACAGTAAAAAGTAACGAAATCAGGAATTCTTTCAAGAATTGTTTGAAAGTATTTTCTACATTTTTCCCTTTCATGCAATCGGCAAGATTATTGAAGAGCTTTGTAGAATGGACTATTTTTATATAAGTAACTTGAATGTTTTTTCAACCTAATGAAATTACCATTTCTTGTAGGATATGCATGCANGAAATTCTTTTTAATAAATAGGAAAAAGTTGTAAACTAATGTTCATCAAATCTGTCTTGTAATAATGACTAATCATTTTCAAATAGTCAGAATGACAGTCTTGACCAAAAATAGTAGGTCCTTTCCAATTTACCTCAATTTTATTTTCTAAAACCTACTATGAGTTAAACGATGTTCAATAATTTCAAATCTATATCAGATTCTCATGTACCCAAAACTCAGAAAATCATACTATATTCTGAATAAAAATGCCAAAAATACAACAATTATTTTTTATTTATTTTACAGTTGTTGTTCACTAATATCGTTCTAATATTGCGAAAATACGAATATACACAAACTTATCATTTTTACAAAAAACAATTTATACACAAATATAATATATACATTCAACATGAACCCGGTAATCACTAATTGTTCCTTGTTATTACCGTAACCGGTTTCAACAGTCCTTCGGGGTGAGACCTTGAATCGGGTGAACTCGAGCAACTTGCAGAAGGTATAGTAGATCTATTTGTTGATAAACTTGGAATTGGTAATTGAAGAGGATATTGTGATGGTGTTGCAAGTCTGAAATTATTGTAAATTTCGAATAATGAGTGCGGAGGTCTCAAAAATGGATTACTTGTTATGTCTATAGTAGGGCCTGCTATTAAATTTTTGTCAACAGCAAAGTTATGCGGTTGAATTTGAATGGGTGTTGGTCTAAGAAGAGCACTGGGACTACTCGGGGTATGTAGATAGGGATTGAATCTAGAATATGCTGCGGCAATAAGATTTGTAGAGGGCGGGTAAAATGGTGGATAATAGGACGGTAAAGGGGAGTAAAGAGATAGAGTTCTCTTGAATGCCGCTAATCTAGATCTTGATGCTGCTGTAGATCTTCGTCTCAGTTTTCCTGTGGTACCTCCAATGAATACGTCCTCAGCGGAGGGATCCAACATCCAATAATTTCCTTTTCCTGGGTCATCATAATGTCGAGGTACTTTAACGAAGCATTTATTCAAACTCAGATTGTGTCTTATAGAATTTTGCCAACCTTGTTTATTTTCTTTGTAGTAAGGAAAATTTTTCATTATGTATTCGTAGATTCCGTTCAGGGTCAATCGTTTTTCTGGACTATTTCTGATTGCCATTATGATGAGAGCATTGTAGCTATAGCGTGGTTTTTCATTGGGTATTTTCTCTGAAAACAAATGAAAACACAATGTAAGTACTACCATTTCTTCAGAAAATATTGTTTTCGAAATAGATTTTTTTTCAGATTGAATTTATTATTTTAAGATTTTGAATATGATCATTCACATAAAAACACAAATAATTCTACAAAAATATTCGTTCAAATGCGATGTCAGTACCAATTTTAAAATTGCCTTTGAATTCGATTTTCTAAAATATAGTGTTCAAATAATGTAACCTATACAAGGTAATTCAAATTCGACCCCAACCATTGGGATCTCTTAAACCACAGGAGATACGTTGAAGCTCAAATTGTGGCAAAGTTGCGTTTTTTCATGCTCAACAAAATACTGTTCTGAAACTTTTAAAATTCCGAGTATTTCCCGAAATATACGGAATATTATGAGCGCCATATTGTTTTTTTATACAGAAAAAAAGGCTTCTCATTTTCATTGCATTAATGTATGATTTGTTATGATTTGCTCTTCTGAAACCACAGGTATTAAAAAAAATTATCTGAGATGGTCATGACTCCATCAAAGATTTTGTTTAATAAAGTAAGAGCTTATTATATAGAAAGTTTTATTAAATTTTCAACAAACATTGTCTATTTGTTTATCCCAAGAGAGATGTTGATCAAGGACTGTACCCAGAAATTTTGTGTGATATGTTGATGTGTGATATGTTAATATATTGCCCCCCAAACGATATAATTGCCTTTGGAGGTGTTCTATATTTGTTGTGATCTACGCAAGCAGTCTTTTTATTATTGATAATTAGTCTATTCTTGAAGCACCAGCTTTTGAATTCCTCAAGAATAATTTGTAGTTTTTGTTTTAGTTTATTTTCGGATATATCTGAAACAAGTATACATGTGTCGTCGGCATACATCAGAACTTTCCCCCATGATATATGATCACTAGTACTATGTTGCTGTATCGCTGCTGTTCCAATGTTTTGACAGAATCAAAAGCAACGAACTTAGGCGTGCGCAGCGATATAGAACAGTGCTTTCAAAAAATTGTTCTACAGCGCCATCTAGTGGCGAGTTACAGAAAAATTGATAGCCTAAAAACCTTATCTATGGAAAATTACTTATGAATGTCAAGTTTCATCACGAATCGGTTGAGCGATGTAGATTAGATTAGATAATCACCGATGCTAACTTCAAGCTCGAAGGGAATTTCCCTTGGGAGATTGAGGAGTTAATAATATGTGGTAAAGTTGGTGCAATAATTAATACGGATTTTTTAATAACTGAAACTGGAATTTTATCCGGACCGGTAGACTTCTTATTTTGTAAATGATGAATTATTTCCGCAACTTCACTCTCAATGACAGGTTCAAAAACAATGAATTCGCATGTGCTCTGTCCTGCTGTACAGATCGTTGACAGTTCTGAACTAAAATGATTGAATAGTTTTTCTTCAACTGTTGTTGATAGATATTGGCCAAAGGCAGAGGCCATATCTAGCGGTTGGGTCAAGGTTTTTCCATTATAGATTATTTCTTTGATATTTTTCGATTGTTTGCCTTTGAACGAATTTACTATTTTCCACACCGTTTTAGTTTTGTTTTGTGATGCTTCAATGATTTTACCATAAAAGGTTTTTTTTCATCCGCGATCTGTTCTCCAACCTCTTTTTTGAGCTCTTTATATTTATTTTTAATGTGTTTATCTGGTACCCTTTTGCGTAGCCAATCTATGTTACGGAGGTTTTTTCTGTTCTGAGTCAGATTTTCTGGAAATTGAATCATTTTATTGGTAATTGATTTATTTTCTACTACGTGCGTTTTTTCCACGAATGAACAGTTGAAACACCACAAGTAGTTTTCCAAGAAGCTATCGAACATAATATTTATATCTTCTGAGAAGTCGATGTTAAAATCTGAGTGGGAGAGATGGAATTTAAATTCGTTCAGAGAGTTTTCCGTGATTTTTATATAGGTGTGTCGTGTTGGTTCAATTGGTTTCTCTTCACTTAAGATGAGCTGACACTCTGTTATTTGTCCGTAGTGATATGAGAGACCAGGGTCAAAATTTTTGGTTTTTATAAGGTTAGACACGTTTGAAACTACATAGTCTGTGGAAGATGATTTTCTTGTGAATATACGGGTATAATCTATAATTAACGAGGACATTTCATTGGAGCTGAATAAATCGAATAAGATTTTCGAATCGTTCCTACCGAAAATTACTACTCGCACCATGTATATGATCACTATGGCTGAAGTAACTTATCAGTTTGAAATTATTGATTGAAATGTTCTCAATATTTAGTTTCCCAAGCCAATGTTCACTGAATAGCAAAAATGTGAAGTCATGATCGTTCAGAAAACATTCAATTAAGTCGAGTTTATTTGAAATGCACTGTATGATAATGCTAAAAACACTCAATGAAGATGGAATATCCTTTTGGTCACCTGGAAATGGGTTGTGGTCTATGCTGGTATCTGTTGAGCCGAGTTGGCTCCGAACCCAAGTTTTTTGGAAATGTGAAACATCATACTGCACATTAGTAAGGCCATATTTCAGGATCGTAGACATATTTCATGTTCGATATTGGAAAAGACACTTTGAATGATGATGTTGAATTATCTTTTTTTGTTAGCTTCTCACATGTGAACTTGATGGCAGGTGCAGTTTTTTCAAAAAAACTGCTGAGAGATTCCGCTGTTTCTTCTGGTGACATCCTGTATACATGAAGATAACCTAATTTCGGTACCGTTTTGATTACCTACTCCTGAACTGTTTTTCCATATGACATGTTTTGTTTTCGTTTCTGGCTGTTTTGGTAGGTCGTTGAACCTCTATTGTTTTTTGTTGCTTTTGTCGGGTGTGGAGAGTTTTGTTGGTTTTTTACATTTGTATTGATTTTGTTAGTAGAATTCTCCAATGTTGACACAGGCTCATATGTTTTGAGAACTTTGGAATATGAATTTCTGGTAGATGGAACTCGTAGGTCAATAACAGTATTCTCTTTTGGATTGATGTTGTAGTTTAGTTTAGTTTTCGTATCACTGTAAGATGTCGATTTCATATTTTCGGGAGATTGTTTACATTGTAATAAATTAATAATAATTTTCTGATGGCGGATTCGTTTTTCGAGATGTTCAACAAGTTGTCTCAGTATTTGGCATTCTCGACTTACTGTTCGCATTTTCGTCGAAGACACTCTCCATTGGAGGTTAGGTCCGAGTCTTGGCGAGTTTCTAAATCATCTTTTGATTTTTCACAACGATCTCAGATTAACTCTTTCACTAATTCATTATAGTCACATTATCGGCAGGCACTATTTTATTCACAAATAAATTCAATATCTCACTTTTTGTCAGGTTATTTAGCTCAGCACAAATAAGTTTGTCTGTTTCGTCGGCCATTTTGCAGATACCGCAACATTATATATTTCATTTGAAAGGGTTATATTATCAGGAGTGACTAATGTTTGGGAAAAAAAGATTTTGGCTCTCTATTACTCCATCATGATAGAAAAAAATGTGGGAATCTTCCAAAGAAAGGAATGAAGTAATCAATTTAAAAGAAGTAACTGTATACATATTTCATTCATGATTCCTGCCTAGACTGTTTCTGATAGGCAACTGAATGTCTGTTTTCTGTACCTATTTTCAAGAAATAAACTATCATTTATGTTTCAGAAAATTAACTGTTGAATAAATTTGTTTTTGACTGAAATCAAGACAAAATATTAAAGACATGAGAAGTAATTTTTTGGGATATTTTGACAGATATTTCGAGAAAGAAAGATGTATGAAATTTCAGCGACACTGGTTTGAAATTTTTATTGTTGTGAATCAAAATACAAATTATGAGTGTGACTGTGGTCTAAAGGACCTCTTAGAAAACCTGACTGGACATGAAAGGCCTATTTATTATTTTCCAATATATCTGAACTCAATTTATTGTGTTTGAGATATTTCTTTAATTTCCTTCTCATATTTTTTGTTGTTTCTTTCAAACATAGTTTATTTGAAAACGGGACTGTATAAAATGTGAAAACTGATGATGTCTGAAACTCTGGGCTCTGCCTTGAGATGAAAATTTGGTCCCATACATACATAATTTATCAAGATATAAGTTAGCTCAATGATTGGCGATCCTCAACCCTCTGGCTGACATATAAAAGCTTTCAAGTATATTTTTCTTCAACAAAATCATTTAGATTTGATTTTTTATGTGAATCATTCCAATAATCATTATTTCGTAATACTTGTTTTCAACTTCGAAAGAAATAATGAATTTGTTATTTCGATTTCATTTCTTCTGAAAAAACAATTCAAAACTGGGAAATGCGTATTCCATCAGAAAATTATAACATTTGTACAGGCTAGAGTCTAAACAGAGTGGGTCACTTTCAGAAGAGGTGTGTTTCAGGGCGATTCTCTCAGTCCCTTTTTTTCTGCATTCCACAATTGCCATTATCTGTTGCTCTAAGAAGCACTTGAAGGTATAACTGGCGCGACCCCGGAATCCGGAGGCAGTCCATATGATTTATATGGACGATCTTGAACTTTGTGCCTCTGGAGAAATGGATCTTCATTAGCCCTTGAGAGTGGTGGAAGAGTACACGCATGCTATCGGAATGAAATTCAGGATAAATAAATGTACAAAATCTTGAAAAAAGATGATGCTGGATTTACGGAGAGAATGTGCAGTTCGTTGATGGAAGCATCTTGCACCATCTGGATGCCGGAGAGACGTATACATAGGTTCGGTTAGGATAGGTCCACAGTGAGTGGGTCTATTTGACCCTTCACCGTAACCCGCAATGGTTTATTGTGGCTAACACCTATTCACAATTGACCAAATGAACCCAACTTCTTAACGAAGCTATTAGTTTTAGTTTGTATGGTGAGTGGTCTTTCAGGTCAGATGGTAAGAGTACGGCTCTGTCAAAATCTAAAAACCTGATTCGGTCCCCAGCGGGACAGGCACAAGGTATGTTCTCATCATTTGCGACTGAAAACACCTGAACCAGAACCGGAAGG